ATTTCTGCAAAAAGTAAGAACTCATAAAAATTGATATTTTCGTCTGAATAGCTCGGAGTTTCAGAAACTACATCAAATCTTAAAGTGTCTACTGCTTGTTCATTTTAAATTTTGATGAGTTTTGTTGTTGGATGACGTTAAACAAGTTTGTTTTTGAAAATATGTAATAGAGCCCAGCGGAGCTTTTTATTTCTCTTCAGGTACACACGGAAGATATGAGAATTTTTCTTTTTGTGGTAACTATCGTTACTAGATTTTACGCATCCGAAAAAGGTTATATATATTTGTATGAAATGAATTATTTCTTGTTCAAAAGTAATTTAAAAGTTTTAAATGACATCGTTTTCCAAAGGAAACAAACAAATAAGTCGCTCATTCAAATATTTTTGTTTTGAAATATGGCATTATTAGCAATTAACAGATTTTTTACAGAAGATAATTTTCTTTATTATTTATTACTATACTGAGAATATTTTCAAAAACGGAAAAGAATTTTGTGTTTTATTAATTAATTCTGATAAAAATCTCGAAATTGTTATTGTGTTGTCTAAAATTAAATAAAATATCTAATCAGCTCTATTGCATGCGGGAATTATATATTATAGGGTAAACCAACCAGTGAAGGAACACTACCCAGTGAAGGAACATTTCATATATATTGATTAAAAATAAGAATTTGAAAGTTTTTCTTTGGATTGATTGGTAACAATAGCTTACTGCCAAACAGTAGGAAGTCATCTAGCAATGTTTTGGATTACCTGGTCAAATAGACTTCTCTGGAAAAAATTTTGAATTTGTTATTATCTCTGCAACACAAGTGGAATTAATTGTATGTAATAGTTTTATTTTTCTCACTGTGAAAAGGAGAATTCAAAATATAGTTACTGAAGCTACGTTTTATTTTTTTTTAATCATAGCATAATAAAGTACTGAGATAAGGGGGTATTTTTTCACTGGATCACCAAACGATGAAAAACCAGTGAAGGAACAAGTGCTCCTTTACTGGTTTTTTTTAAAGTTAATGAAAATAAAAGATAAACTTTAGTTTTTTTGTACCTTTAGTGATGTTCCGCATCAAAATTATGTTACAAATACGAAAAACAACTTCTAACCAGTGAGGGAACAGGCTTGTTCCTTTACTGGGCATAGATTTCCCAGTGAATGACCAGTATGTGTTAATATGTTGACACTTTAATTTTCAATTAATGATTACAAAAAAAATTTAGCATTTTCCAAGTATTTATATGTTATAATTTCAAGAATAGGCTTGTTTTTAAATATTTGTATGGCTTATAAATTCATAAAGAGCATTAAAAAATAATCAAAATTAAGTGTTCCTTTACCGGGTGTTCATTCACTGGTGAGAGCTGTTCCTTCACTTGGTCTTCTTACTACTTGTTATTTGAACCTCCAAAACTTTAAAACAATATTGTGTAAGTTCTCTAAAATTTTTTTACATAATTTTCAATTAGTAACAAATATGTTGACACTGTCATTAACTAAAATTACGAATTTTGAAATTAATATGATTTTTTAAAAGGCAAGCGAAGCTTAAGTGTTCCTTCACTGGTTAGTTTACCCTAGCTAAGTGATAGAACTAATCTAAGTGATAAACTGAGTGCGACGAAGTGATTGTACTAAGCTAAGTGGTAGTTTTAAATTGAATGTAATTATGTGACGATACTAAACTAAGTCTATCTACGTAATCGAACCAACATTAAGTGTTAAACTAAGTGTAACTACGCAGTAACTTTTTTTTTGAGTATCTTAGCTCTAAAAATAGTGGCAACTACTCTACTCCAAACTAGTGTTCCCCTACACGAAGCATCAAGGATAGTTCTTGGTGTTCTGAAACACTAAGAATGCTCCTTTACACAACTTGTTAAGTAGCCTCCCCCATTCTTGTTATTCATTTACATTAAAATGCATAATTACAATAAGAGTCAGGAAAGTTAATTTTTAAGATGCACTCAAAAGCAATAATTTAGGATGCATGCCTACAATACTTCTTAAAATAAAATTGGTTTGTTACTCAGAGAAAGCTCTGAGAGAATACTTACATGAAACTGATAAAGGCTAAACAAAAAAAAAAAGTGAATAGAAATTAAATATTAAGAAATTATTTAATACGATTGGCAGATTTATATAACTAAGTTTAGGAGAATATAATTATCTTTATTACGCAACTAAACAAACATACTTTTTTTTATAACTGATAGCTTGCTCTGCGAAACGTTTAGCCGTCGTGTGAGGCGATGACAAACTTTCGTAGTCTAAGCTCGATTGTAAATAAAAAATATTAATTGCCTGATGGGTCTTTTGAAGACAACATTGGCGAAAATAATTCACGGAAAGAGATTAAGGATCTCAACTTGGAGAAAAATTCTCATTTGGTTTTAGTTTAGATTTAACTACATCCTTCAAAGTGTGTATAAACGCTTGAATCAGTATTAATTTGAAATAACACACAACTTCCGAAAGGTATTACAACACATTTTTTTACAGTGTAAGTGATATTATCAGAAACTTCTAAAAGTAGTGCTATATTTAAGTTCATTCAAAATATTTTCTAACATTATATATATATATATATATATATAAAACTGGATGTCCCTTAAAGACGGGTGGTATGAAAAGTAAAAATAATGTTAATAATAATAAAAGAAGACGTAAATTTCAAAATTTTTCTCAAAGATTCCTAACAGATGGCACTAATGAAGAAAGAAACTATGTAGCCATATTTTTTATGTCAGACCATTTCAACTGAAATATTTTTATGAACAGGTGCTTATCTTGTTATTAGACGGCACAACGTTATTTGCTGTTGCAAATGGCGACTGTCTTATAGTTTAAAAAAATTTAATCTTTTTTTATAATTTTACTCAGTTAGCAGCGCCATCTGCTGATCATGTCATTCAGTTTCGAAAAAACAGGAAAAAATTTCGTAAGCTGAAAACGCAAACCAAATGTTTTTTATTTCCAACTGTTTTTGTTCAGTTAATTTTTAAATCGCCGGTTATTCTTGGGAATTCCAGCAAATGGATGGCCAAAGAACAAGGGTGGTTGAATTTTATTCATATAATAATAACATAATGGTTTACTTATTTATCATATAATGTATGAAATGAATAAAATATATTGAATGGACTACTGAAAAATCCTGGAGTTTGATAAATCCTAGGTTAAATCAGTTAAACCTAGTTTTTACCAAAGAGCTTAGGTAATGGTTTTAGAAAAACTAACAATAAAATACGGTTTTATATATTATAAAACCATATTTTATTGTTATTTTTAATTAATATTAGTATTAAGTATATATTAATATAATTGAATAATATTAATTGTTTGTGATGGAATTTGGTAAATGTGGTAATTATATCTTATAGCATGACACAGAAGCTATGTATTTGGTTAAATTTGATTTTCAGTTTTGTGTTTTTCACTAAATATGTGGTAATAAGAAATATAATTTCTTATAACCGGAATTTCCGATAAACCATAACCATATGAATGAAAAAATTATCAAATGATTGGTTTACATGTAGTATACCTTGGTTATATTAACCATAATTATATTTTTGGTCCAGTAATGTCATTAACATATAATATGCTAATTTTACCAGAATATATTTCTCCGTGCATGTGAGAAAATCATAATAATAGCGAAGATTTCAAACCATTCCCATTTCAATGAAATTTAAAAAAAATTGTTTTTTATATTTTCTGGAGTTAGCAAAGATCTTTAATCACATGTAATCTCTCAACAAAAGAAAAAAATACGGTAAAATATTAAGANTATATATATATATATATATATATATATATGTATGTGTGTGTGTGTGTGTGTGTGTGTGTGCGTGTGTTTTAACATTAAGAGGAAGCAGACTTGAGATAACACAGCAAAATATTGAATAAGATTCAAACACTAATTTACTGTATAGCGGGATAAAAAAATGGAATTCCCCTAAATAACTTTTGATTTAATGATCAGATCTTCACGTTCTAAGATCAAGCTTAATGGTTCGAGCATTTGACTTCACATTTGCTAATTAATTAGTGCCGATAATATTTTACGTAAAAAAAAAGCAGACACAAAACCGTGATTTTTCTGAGTAAAGATAACTTTTTTTCAATTGATTCGAATTTTTGATCCCCAAAGTATAGGGAGTAACCACAATAGGGGAATTGTTGTCTCATAATTTGGTCAGAAGAGGGCCAAAGTTTGGACTCCTTGATGATAATTTTATTTTTTGTGTATTTTGCCAAATGAGAACTTTTACATCAAATTGAAAATTTTTTTCACACAATTACAAAATTTGTTTATTCAAAGATAATTCCATGAAAATATTTTTTTTTTTGCGAATATTTATTATTCCTCATTATTATATTTAATAATAGTCGAAAAAATTTTGAATTTTAAAGTATGCAATTTTTATATGCTTTTAAAGAATGTAATTTTGCATAGGAAAGAACTAAATTTGTGCGAAATTGTCTCGAGTGAAAAATACCGGAACGAAAAAAATAAAAATAGACGTTTCTTACTGTATATTGTCCCTTCATTTTCTAAACTTAAATTCTATGGATTTTTCTGTTCGGTTTATCTTGCAGACAAGGGCTTTTGTTACGTCTCATAAAATTTAAGCATCTCTAAATAATCCTTGAGAAAGGAATAGTAAAAGTGACTTGTGACTTATTGGATAAAAATTTATACACGTTTACACTTCTGTTATAATGCCAAAGATGGTCACTTCGAAAGTATGTTATTGGTAGCATTGTTTTCATCTTTATTTTAAAGTATAGCTGTAGAAGCTTTAAAATTTTATGTGTCACCTTGTAATAGAAAAATAAATATACCCGCTTTTTCATTCAATACACATATTTTTAAATTTACTTAAGGAGGGGTGGCAACAGTCTGGATTTAGTAGCAAATGTTTCATAAAACAATATGAAATGTTAAATCTTTTATTTTATTTTTATATATTATTACAAAAAGAGGTTTTTTGACAGGTTAGAATAAGTTAAAATATATTCTTTCCTCGATATTTTTCAACTACTTTTTAACTTTTTCTCGGACTGTTTAGTATACAAGTTTTTCCTGATTAAGTCACATAGGTATTTATGCTCTAACGACTTAATGGAGATTTCTTTTCTCAATGGTTTTATTTCCATACCACACCACAAAAGCGGAAGCTCTGACTTTACATTGTATTTCCAATTAATGGTTATCCACTCGTAAGTATACGTAATATATTAGGTCACAGTAAGTTGTATATCTATCTTTACGTCCGTTGACATATTTCACTGATTCCAAAAGAAAGATTTACGAGGATAATGTACTCCCCGCATAGCCATATCATTTTGATGGGAAATGTTATTACGTGGGCACCCTCAGGTATTTCTTATGTGTATTGATTTTTATTGACCTAGACATGATGAATAATATTTAGATATAAGACGAAATTATGATCATTTGCTAGTTTTACCTTATTGAGTAAACTCTATTATATTAATAAAATGTTTTCTTCATCGCACATGTATGCATTGCAATTAGTTGCTATCATAGTAGTAGTAAGTAAAGATATTTTAATATTAGCATTAGGTAGAACTTATGTTTTAAGTATAATATAAGATAAAAATCAATGTTTGTAAGTAAATTTCTGAGCTTATTATATTCAAATATTTCATCATGGTAAATTTCCACCCTCTTTTGTGTTATATAGTTCGATATGAACTTTTTTCTTCAAATTATTTAAACCTAACCCAGTTGAAGATTAAGATTTTTATTTTTACTAGTTTTACTTTTACTTAATTGAGTAAACTCTATTATATTAAAAATCAATGTTTACAAGTAAATTTCTGAGCTTATTATATTCAAATATTTCATCATGGTAAATTTTTACCCTCTTTTGTGTTATATAGCTCGATATGAACTTTTTTCTTTAAATTATTTAAACCTAACCCAGTTGAAGATTAAGATTTTTATTTTTACAAGTTTTACTTAATTGAGTAAATTCTATTATACTAATATAAAGTTTTCTGCAACGTACATTTATGCATTGCAGTTAGTTGTTGTCATAGTAGTAGTAAGTAAAGATATTTTAATATTAGTATAAACAGAATTTATGTCTTAAGTAAAATGTAAGATAAAAATCAGAGTAAAAGAAATTCTGGACTCATCATATTTAAATATTTCCTCATGGTTAATTTTTACTCTGTCTTGTGTTATATTTCCAGATATGAACATTTTTCTTTAAATTATTAAAACCTATCTTCTAGTTGATGATTAAAGTTCTTAAATCAATGTGATAGATACTGAAATACATATTTTTTACCTTCCCGAAACCAAGTAAAAAATTATAAGGTGTCAAAAATGTCATTTTTACGTTACGTCGTCTAAAATTACTCGCTATACTCAGGCTTGTCACTTTCAATGCATTTAAACATGTTAAACACTGCATCTGTCATTGTGACAAAATTGGAAACCAGAAATTTAAAATAGGAAAAAATAAATGAAGCAATATGAGCATTGTTTAAAAAGTCATTACTCACTTTATTTTTTGCTATTGATTAATATTTAGAAGAGACAAAAATTCTGAAAACATAAGAAATATAGAAATATATGATAAATAAATGAATAAAAAGTTTTTTTAATTTGAAAATTTAACAAGGAATTAATAATTTTGAACATATTTCGTTTTATTTATTTTTGAATAAGGGAGATTTAACTATAACGGTAAAAAAAATTAGTTTTTTCTGACGGAGATTGCAAGAAAGAACTACGCAATGTACGCAGTATAAAATTTATCGACTGAATATTAAATGATTAAGATGGTTTAAGTATTAATTTTCGAAATTTATGAAGTCACATATTTACTTATTGTCAGTCTATGCCACGAAATTTATGTATTGTTAGTCTATATGAAACTATTTAGCAGCGTATTAAAATTTTAGCAAATTTACGCAATATTTTTAGTTCAAGGTGGTTCAAAATCTCTATGTAAAGTCAGAGATTGACTCGTGGTAAAATTAATCTGTTGCGATGAAAGGAATGCAAGCATGGATTTGTAGCTAGTGTGGGAATTGAAAATTAAAAAAAAAAAATGAAAAGATAGGGTAGTCTATAGGTAGTTTGATGAAAATGTTCGTTTCAGCAATAAGGCTTTGTTATAATTACTTAAAAAAATCATTTTAAGCAGAAATTCTCCGCCAAACTAGGAAACATGTGTAGGAAACAATCTGGAAAAAATTTTACTTCAAAATGTACTATTAGTTTGTTAGTTATAATGTTTTGTTGTCAACATATTTTTGGGATATTTACTTTTAAAGCTTCACTTGAAATTTTCAGGGCGTTTCTCAAGCAGTTTATGATTAGGTATAACCGGTTTTACAATACTTTGATAGCATGGGAATTGTATAATTTTCTTATTTTCACATTTGCATTTCTTAATCTGATACATACATTTCTTAATCTGATTGCACATACTCCTTAATTTCTAAAAATTTGCAATCATAATTTGCAGTCATTCGTAATCCTTATCAATTGTCATCAAAATTAGCTTTTCTAAACTGATGAACTAAATAAAACATTTCTTTTTTCAATAATTGACTGTTTTTGAGATACTTTTACTCTCTCTGCTTAGTTCAGATCAAAAATTTTAAATTTATTTTCTGTTTTTACATAACATACCTGTCTTATTGTTTCGTTTTATTTTACTCTTTACTTCAATTCTTCACATTATTTTTCAATAATAAGTGAATTCTATTTCATAAGAATTCTACCTCATAAATAAACTAAAAAAAAAAAAAGAAACACATGTAGCTAAAAAATAAAAAATATATCCACAAAAATGTTTTTTGTTCATACCACTAACAAGCCATTGAAAAACAATTTTTAAAAAGAAAAGAACGTTTATTGGCCAAAATCGCGAAGATTACAGGGCAAACGTTAACTAACAATTGTCAATAGGTAAAAAGTGCTGTTATGAACCAGGAATCCCCATCAAACCAAAAAGAGAACTTATTACAACTGTCGTTGAACCGCCGACTCAATTTCGGGTTTATGACTATTAATGTTCAACTCCGTAGCCTCGTAATTTTAAACCTAATCCAGAAGACAAGGGAATTCCTAGATCAAGTATTAAAAGAAATTTGCCTTCGTGGAAGACTTATTGATGGAATTATCCCGCATTTTCGCTATGTGGAGAGGAAAACCACAAAAACCTCTCATGGTTTGCCTGATGGTAAGGGTACTCTAACCTATAATCCGTCTACCACTGACGATATTTTACGTCAGCACTGTGGTCAGTGCGAGCCGGGTGCTGAATACGTGTTAACCGGTCATGGCTGTGATTCGAACTCAGTTCGCCTCATTTGGAGGCTAACGCTGTATCTCGTGAGCCACCACGGCACGCCAGAGGTATTAACTTGTTATGGGAACTTAAAGGACTTTGTTACCCAGGCAGATTTATTGTGCACTTGTCATTATTTAATACACTGGGATTCGTTGGCCGACTGGATTTGAATTCCGTTCTCACGAACACTAGTCCAGCCCTCTACCAACCAGGCTATGCAAAAAGAGAATTTAAATATACTAATCAAAGCTGTATTACTTAAAATGTGTTAATATGCACATTTTAAAAGTTAAAAAGCACTTTGCTGTCGCTGTGGTTAAGACACTGCTCTCTCATTGCTGCATAAAGCCTGGGGTTTGATGTCTGGTGGTGACTTGAAGTCCACCAAGCTTTGTACCGATGAGTACTAGTTTCTTTGGGAAATAAAGGTGGTTGGTATATGATTGTGACCCTTTTGCTACCATCAAGCCGTTGATAATGAAATGATACCATTTTATACACAATTCTTTGACCTGCAAGAAGTTGTTTCGAGAAGGCATTTTTATAAAGTTAAATATGTTTATTCCTTTAGCTTAAACGTTTTAGCTTAAACTTAAAGTTTTTTTTTGAAAAGATTAGCATATAATTTAACTCACCAAAATATTTTTATAATTTTTCAGATTTCAGCATCAAAAATGGAAGACATAAACCGAGCAGAATCTTCAGACATACCAGGAAGAACATCAAAAATGCCGAAAGAGTTCAAATTTTCTGAAAACCCTACTAAAGTTTTGTCACATACTAAAAATAATGTTAGACATGTGAGTTTTTTTAATATTTATGTCTTTTAAGTTTATGAGTTTTCCTTTTAGAATTTTTTGATTGATTTACAGTTTAAGAAAATGATGCTGGTTAATTTGATTTTAAGAAAGTTTAATTTAATTGAGACTGAAAATCGTAAAATGATTTATCTGGAGTGGTAGTTGTAGATTTCATTTAATTTTTTTGCTAATATCAATAGCAGTAAATTATTATTAAAATTTCAATATTAAAATCTTTCATTAAAAAAAGTTGCTTATATTTTTATTTACTCTTAAAACATACTATTTTTTTCGAATTTGAACTGGAAGGAAATGCTTGCTTTTGTTACACATTATTATTTGTTACATATTATTTAAAAATTGGAACCCGCGAATTGATTATTTAATACAAAGGCAAATTTATACAAGTTATCTGTAAATAACTGCCTATTTTATATCTCAGTAACTGCTTTAGTCATTTGAAATTTCATTTTCAATTATTTTTTGTCGTCGAATAAAAATTGAAAGCTTTTATAGGACTTTTTTTATTAATCGCTCTTCTATTTTCTTTATTTTATTTTTAGTTAAAAGAAAAGAATATTACGGAAGAAACCAATGAAATATCAGGTAAAGTTCCTACTTTTTGATTACATTTTTATTTTCATTTTTGCATGTTGGAAACATAACATCATATGTAATATACCATCTTTAATATGTAATTTAAATATAAAATATTATATACTGCAAAATCTATCACTATTGTAATATTGTTTGACTGGATTCGATAATTATTTCTCGTCTTTTCAATCAAGTTGGGATAATATCTGTGTAAAGTTCATAGCATATTTTCATAGGTAACTTAAGTCTGTTACATTACATGCTAAAGTAACAATAATTGATGCAGCGTTTTTATTCTACGTAAAAAGCATAGAATAAAGCGTTTAATTGAAACAACTTTTTCCTTCTTCTTTAATGAAAAATAAAGCCTACTATGATAAATAAACCAACTGAGCAATTATTTCCTACGACTACGACTACGTCTATATTCTTTTTTTTTAACGAATAATTAGCACGGGCTAGTTTTTTGTTTTTATTATTTAAAATCTTCCTAAAAACAATAGTTACCTACTAAAAATTGAAAAGTTAGAAATATATATAATCAAACTTGTATTCCGTTTTTAGATCACTACAATTTTAACATTTTCAAAGATGCTTAAAATAATTCTGATTCAAAGATGGAGAAGTGTTTTCCAATACTAGAATCAATTATAAAAATTTATCTTCCGTAATAAATGCATGTAAAACAGAAACAAAAGTAACAACACTAAAAACTGATTCACGAAAAAAAAAATTGGATGGATTCAGTTGCTTTACAAAACACAATTGCTTCACTAAGCACCATTGTAAACATAAGATCTCTTCCATCAATGTCTATTTCAGGGTAAGTTCTCGGCCTAAAACAAATTTAACTCTGGCATTTCTTCGAACGTAATTTATTCTCTACTTGTTTTCAGGAAGCGTTTCTGATGTAAGAATTAACGATTCGAATGTTCTAATTTCTTACTCTAATTTGTTGGGTAACAGTTGCGTTGTATGCATTCTACATTCTTACATAATGGTACTAATATAATGGTACTAATGGTACTTACATAATGGTAATTTACATAAGGTAAATATTGAAATAAAATGAGTTAAAAATAACATTGAAAAATACAATTTTAATAAGCAGTGGAATTCCGGTTTTATGGTGTCTGTTTCGTGTGTGATCCCGTTTCTTGCGTCATTTTCTGCTGGTCCGTTAGAATTGCATATACCGATAAAGTTATATTTGACCAGATTTTTAAGCTATCTTTTTTAAGAAAACCCCTCATTACACATTTTTATAACTGATCTGGCAGCTCTGAATTTTATTTATAAAGCGTTAAACTATGTCGACTAAAACGTATTTGAAATGGGTTTAATAAAGCAGTTTTCTTAATATCGAATTGGCTCTTCAGATATTGCGTGACTAAAGATCTTTTGAAGTCAATCACGCGTATATCGCCTACAGCACACATTCCTATTGCTTTCAATTCTTATAATTATAGTAAAAAGTATTGAGAAGGACACTTTTGAAATTGCATTAAAAAGCAAAAAACAAGTAAAGATTACGTCAATCATTTCAAGTGTAAATTTTTGAAAAAAGTGATTAAAAGTTTTGCGTTTTCATTGCTAGTCTGATGGATAACGCGAAATCGGGGTTCCACTATCATATACACTTATTATTTTATATTTTTCCACTTAATATTTGATTTACTTCTGAAATAATTAGGAGTTGGAAAATTAATTAGTAATTAAGAGTAAGTATGTGTCTTGAAAAATATATAACAGTTTATCATTTAATGACTTCGTTTGCCACTATAATGTAAGCAGCTTTATATTTTATTTTAGAAAAATATGAAATTTTAGTTTTGTTATTTAGGCACCAGAAGGAAGGTACATTTATTTTTGACTTATTATAACAATGAAAGGAAGCAGAAAATTTTAATGAAGAAATTATCGTATTCTAAATGAAAAACAAACACAATTCAAAACAAATTGTATTTTATTGAAATAAAAAAACAATCAGAAGTATCAATACTGATATTCAAAAATTTTGTTCCCTCTGAAATATTTAATGATAAGATTTAAATTTTATTCAGCAACCTTGAATGAATACTTTGAATAATTTCAGAAGATTTCCATCCAAAGATAATAAATGGTAGACCAGCAGAAGAAGGTGAATTTCCATGGATGGTATGTTTAAATCCTTCATTTGATTTGAATTTTCTTTAAAGGTTATTTTATTAAAAATTCACTGTAGCAAAAAGATAATTACAAAATCCCATTAAATATCAATAAAAAAAGACAATAAGCATTCAGAGAAAAGTCATTGGAGTCACTGAAAAAGCTAAGATACTTTAGGGAATCATTTGCCAATTACTAGTTTGATAAGAATGATTTTTAATACCCAGTTTCAATTCGTGATATTTAAATGCCTATTTTAATTTTCTAATTTTTAATACGTAAAAATGCACGAGAAGCAATTTATATTTATTTAGCTTTTTTATTTTTTACTGATTTACTTACACTTCTCAGAATAATTATTTATTGATTATAAGATGCTTTAGAAACAATTTGCTAACAATTATATTCCTGCAGCATGGTTCTGACTAGTATTGAAATAAATACTATCTTTTTTATTTTAATTTGCCTTCGTGTGCAGGGCTGTCAACTTGATGCGCGTTTGTATGAAAATGTCTTCTTGTGGCACGTAAATTTGATTTATAGTAATTTTACTTTCCATACCACTATATGTATATGATTCAAAAATTCATATGAATCGTCTCTATGCTCCAGCTCTCTCGTGGTTGGACATTTAAAATTTTGGCAAAATTACCGAAAATCCTGAAATCTTTGCTTTTAGTTGTTTACCACAACATAAATTATTTCGCAAAACGCGTAGTAGTTGACAGATCTGTGTTAAAGGGTGGAATATTTCAAATGAAGTTGCGTCAGCTTTTCGACAAGCTAGAAAATTCAAATATTTATTAGAGCTCTGTGCCTGATGACGAATCAAAGTTTCAGTCATTTCACGACAACTATAAGGAAAATTTATCACCATATTATTACCCTGAAAAATTTATCTTGAATCAAAATTTTGAACACTATTCGCCCAGACTAAATTAAACTAGGAGCTCTGCGTATGACGACAATACGAGTTGCAATTATTTAATGGCCTTTATAAGCATTATTTATTGCAATATTGTCAGTAAAAGGAATTCATAGTCAATATACAGTTTAAAAACTAATGACTGGTTAGAATTTTCGAAACTAAACTGAATCCCTTGCTGGTTGACAACACTAGTTGCAGTAGTTTTCTGTCTGCTGTAAGCAGAATTAACACAACCTATTTATAACGAAGTCGATAAATCCTTCATTAAAATTCTGAACAATTTGCGAGTAGCTGGGAATTTCAACCGGATCTGTGCATTGAATTGTTTGCCAATTAAAATTTCGATATAATTTTTCAACATAAATAAATAATCAGAAATAAATTTAAAAAGAAAGTAAGTAAGAAAGTACGATAAAAATGTTAAAAACTAAATTTTCAAACAGAATAAAAAAATTGTTTAATCTAAGAGGAAAAATATAGAGTAAATTACTTTAAAATAATTTTTTTTTCTATCTGCAATGAAATTATCGCGACGTTTTTCGAAAAGGATGTGTCCTACCTTTTTACTTTAAGTCTGATAAAAATTATATCATTCTTTCCTTTATAGTTTACATGAAAGATAGTTTTACCTTATGATTATTTTTAATGTTTTACATTATAATTTTTAATGAGCAATAAAATTCTTTGTTAGAATGTAGCCTGCATGCTTGGGTAATCGGAGTGTTTTATTTGTACTAAGAAAAAAAGAATGGTTAAAACAAACAGAATATGGTAAAAGATACCGTGATTCTGGATCTAATGGAAGCCAAAAAAGTCAGTAGTTTTTACCGAAGGATTTTGGTAAATTATGTTTGTAAAATTAATAGTAAAATAACATTTTATAATATGGGTATAAATTTGGTAGAATTTGTAATTTTTTCATGATACCTAAGAGCATAGCACGAAAACCATTTGTTCGATTAAATTTTCTTTTAAGTTTTGCAATTTTTACTAAATGTTTGGTAACGTGTGAACTACAATTTTTGTAAGCAGAATTTTCTGTTAACCATTACCATTTGAAAGAAAAAATTACCAAGTGAAGGTATATAAATATATATATATACCTACAGGGTGATTCTAAAAAGATGGGCAAAATTTAAGGAAGTGATAGTACACACCAGAGAAAACAATTTTTATCAAAGAATGCATGGTCGAAAACAAAACGCAAAACCGCTAGAGGGCGTCAATGTTTATGTTCTTATATGAGGCAAAAACATACAATGAACGATGAAGTTAAGTTATAAAAGCAAATTTAATGGCATGTGATTACAATAAGTGTTCAAAACAGTGGCCGGCACCGGCTATGCACGCAGTACAACGGCAAAGAAAAGATAGGTGAACATTCTGAAACACACCAGGCATATCACGAACTTTCCCTGCAGCGGCCGAAAACTTGGCGACAAGTAACGCAGCGTAGTAACTCGCAACAGGAATGGAGCTTTCACGTTTGCATCAAACAACTTTCCAAATGCTCCAGCGCCTTTGCATTTTGTTTTCGACCATGCATTCCTTGATAAAAATTGTTTGCTTGGGTGTGTACTATCACTTCCTAAAATTTTGCCCATTTTTTTAGAATCACCCTGTATATATATATATATATTGTCCCATTAAAGGAATCTTTTGCACACATTATACAATAAAATATTTAAATTACTTTTTCAGCAGGTATGGTAAAACTTTAAACTGAAACATAATAAACACAAAATGTACAAATTCATAAAGATACATAATTGTAATAATAAACAATAATTATAGTAGAACCTTGATTAACCTGTTACAAATAAAAAATCTTTATTACCTNTATATATATATATTAGATCAGAATTATGGTATTCTTTGTACCTGAAACGTCATTTCCATAAAGTACGATAATTTTACAAATTTTTTTTTTCTCCGTGTTGCAGGATGTTAACAAAATAAATCACTCCGTCATAGCCATACAGAAAATACCATACAATACGGCAAATACTACACATACGGCAAATACCATACACAAAGTAGCTCTACGGCAAAAATATTAGAAATACTTACTTTTGAGAAAAAAATTATATCTCTAGAATTTAATTAATATTTGTATTATTTAAACGAACTTTTATTTGAAACAAATAAATAAATCTTAAAATTAAAAAGCAAAACAAAACGTGATATTATATTTTTTTAAAATTAAGATCCGTTGTTAATACAATATTTGTTCCCTTAATTTAAGGTTGCACTTCACTACAATGATCGATATATTTGTAGTTCAAGTTTGATATCTCCAACATTAGTGTTAACAGCAGCCCATTGCGTTGTGTTGTAAGTTATCTTTGAACCTTTCTATGTTACAACTTGTATAATATGATTTGTAATGAAAGTGTTTAAAAATATATGCATTAAAATAGAATGAAAATTATAAAATCTTAGTTTTTTTTACGTAATTTAAAAACATGCAAAAATCAGAATGTCTCTCTAAAAACTTATGATAATTTTTCTGCAAAACAAATGTAAAGATTACTGGAATACATAATATGGCACAAAGTTTACAGACGCGAACTTTTAAAAGGTGACTGAAAAAAATTTATGAAACATTTATTACTAAGTTTATTTTTACATTGATTATTGTTATCTTTCTACAAATTTAAATCAAAGAAATTTTTTTTGAGACTGACTTTTTCTGAATATAAGTCTTGATAATAGATAAATTTGCTTAATCTAATAAGAAAGCAATTTTTATATCAAAAGTGTATTTAAAGTTACATTTTCAAAAGAAATATGAAATGAATTGTATAATTTTTATTGAAAGAATTCTAATAATTTTTGGAAAAATGAGTTTTTTTTTAATTTACAATATAAATTGAATGATATTAGATGCCGTAATTGATTAAGAGGTCAAGGCTTTGGAAAAAAATATAGTAACTAATTTGTAATTTTTTTATTAAAAATCCCCAATAATATTCAGTGCATGATCACTTTAGTATAGTATATTTTTACTGATCATAGAATGTATTAAATTACTTCGTTAGGCAGTAATGCTCTCAATTAGAAGAGAAAATACAAAAAACGAATGGTAAAATTTTTTTCTTAAATTTCTTCTAAATTTTCAACTTCTAAAGAATGCTTAATTATAGGACTATAAAAGGATTTTATTAAATAAAAAGTAATTATTAAGAAATTTTCTTCGCGAACTCTTCTTTAAAATGATATCTTACTGTCTCAAAAGAGTTGTAATGTTTAAATTTTCAGATCTTTCTTTTATGAATAATTTTTTTAAATTATGAGCATTTTTTGAACAAAATGTAAATTTTTCGAAATATTATATGCGTATTAAGTAATTATTCATTCTTTTCCATGTTATTTTAAATAATAGTCAAACATGTGCTTGATTTCTTGATAAGATATTTTTATATTTCGAATATGTAACTCATATTTTACTAACATTTTAAACACAGTCTATTTTAATTATGAAATGAAATTACAGTTTTAAGTAATTTAGTAAAACCATTAAATCCTGCTTCCCCTTTATATTATAATATTTCATTAAAAGTTCTTTAAATGTCATAAATATTGAAATGCTATAAAAATATCTAAATTTTAACACATTTACTGCTTCGCGAAAACTAGTTTGTTTTCCTAAATGTAATAGAATAACAATAACTAATAATAATATAGAGTGTTTTCAAAATACGCGTGCCTGATGCTTAAGAATCCAAATAAGAATTTCTATATAAACTAATTAAATACTAAATTTTATCTGGTTAAAATAATTTTTAATTTTGTATGACGGCAGACTACTTTGAAGTGTTTCATGTTTTTCGACTTTTTTTAGAAGCTATAATTTTTTATTAAATATAATTACATTGTCTAAATTAAGTTTTAGATTTTGAACCAACCAAAAAATTGAAATATGATTTTTTTACGGAATTTAAATTTGGAAGAAGTTTAATGTGCTTCCTGACAACTTAAAAAAATGAAATAATTGTTATAATTTTTTCAAAAGCGTAGCATTTCTTACAAAAACACAAAAAGTAAGTAAAATATATTATGTCTAATGTCAGAGACTTTAAACAACTAATCTTACTTAAGTACATGATAATTATTATATATTGTCTGAAATACTGTTCGGAAGTTCCATTAAAAAGATAATGTTAATAATAAGAGAAATTTATTTTGTCTAATGGAATAATTTTTAAAGAAATAAACATGTAATTTTGAATAATAAATTATTGAATAATAAATTATTGAATAATTAATAGCATAATAATTCTGATAAATGGTATGAAATAAATTAACTATCACTTTCAAAATTATTTTTTTTTATTAACTTCCTTACCTATTTTACTTTAGAAAATTAAATCTGAAATTAACTTCAATATCTGAACTATTAGCATACCAATAAAAAATACATATTGAAAATGAATTGTTTATAACATTTTTATAAATAAATTTGTATTTAATTATTTATCATTAGTTACATAAAAAGGAGAGTGAAGTTTATAATATTAGAAATTTAAAGTAAGTTATAGATTGATTAAAGAGTTTTAAGAAAATTTAAGTCAGTATTATTTTCTCAGTTTGTTCCAGAAAAAGTATTGCAGAAATGACATAAAAAAAATACTAATAAGTTAATTAAAATAAGTTAATTAAATTTTTCCAGTAATGAAATGCCAATCATAACTGCTATATTCTAAAAAATAAAATGATAAATTTTGATGAAATATTTTTTAAACATCATTTCTTAACAAATATATCTTCATTTTCATATTAAGTATTTATAATTTGTATAATTTAGTAAAACAGATGCACTTTGTTTGTTTTTGCGAAATTATTGCAGAACCCGCATCATATAAAAATTATTAATAAGTTAATTAAATTTTTCCAGTAATCAGCTGTCAATAATAACTGATCTATTATAAACAAAAAGATAATTTTTTAAGCAATATTCCTTAAAAATCATTTCTTAGTAAGTATCTCTGCATGTTCAAATTAGATATCTATCATTTGTACAATTTAGTAACGTAGATGCACTTGGTTAATTCTAGCGAAAATACTGCAGAACCCGCATCGGCGTTTTATGGGATAATTGGTAATCTTCTCCGAGAAGGTCCACAAACCAGATTAACATTTAGCGAGCTGGTTGCCCATCCTCAGTATGGTAGTGGCTCTGAAAATGACATTGCAGTGTTCCGAGTAGCTGAACGTGTGCAAACGTCAGGTTTAATCAAGCCAATCTGTTTACCTCAATCTGGAAGGGAATTTGAAAACATCTATGTTCAGGCAATAGGTTGGGGTGTAACGTCTAATGGTATGTCTTTATTGATTTTGAAATTCAGAGCAATGGATATGTATCTATTCTAAGATTTCAGAAAGTGTTGAGAAATATCTTCAGAAAATTGACATTTTAAAGTTTATTGATTTCTTAATTGATTTTCTCGAAAAAATTGCATCAAGTTACATATTAATTCATATTAATAAATAACACATTATACAACTCAGAGTTATATATAAATTAATTTATTAGTTTTAATATTATTAGATAATTAACAAAATATTTTAACTTGCATCTAGAAGATCCATGTTCTAACAAGCTGGAAATTATTGTAGTTTGTTAATTTCAATTCTAGAGCATATAATTAAAAATAGAATTAAAGATTAAACTCCTTACAGAATTTCACCGTATATATGCTGTAAGCCATGGGTCGCCAAACTTTTTTGATCATCGACCCCTATATAATTTTTCGAAATCTCCATCGACCCCCATAAAAGTAATTTTCTGTTAATTAAGATAAAACTCTATTAGATACTGTGTTTGTACATTTATTTTATGATTTAAGCATTTATTAAAGTAATAGTACATTGTGTAACAATAGTTTTATGAAAAATATATTAATCTTGAAATTTAAATACCTTAATATTTATGAAATGATAAGTAACTATAAATAAGTAGAAATAATAAGTAAAGTAACTACAGATTTATTGCTTCTTAACCAATGAGATGAGTGTGCCTGGTGTTTTTTTGCAAGGTTCGCTATATTGGGTTCAAAATTGGTCAATTTTAATTTTAAATCCCCTCGTAACTCCACATTTAATTTATTTCTGTACTTAGTTAAGATTGAATTTACGTGACTGAAACCGGTTTCAACCATATAGGAACTTGGAAAAGCTAGCATGGAAAGGCTGAGCTATTTCATAAAGTTCTACATGTTTTTGCATTATATTTATATTTGTTCGAAATTTACTTGTTGTGAAATTTTTGAAAAGCGTCTTTGCTTCAAGATCCGATAATAATTCAGCAAACTCAACTTGCAGGTTGATGTCCACGTTTTTGATGATGCGTTTATTAATTTATTTTCTATAAAGAAACTGATATTAAGTCACTTATAAAAAAATTCACAAATTTTACTTACTCAATTAGATATGTGTGATTTACGTATTAAAACTGCTTTTTCTTTGACCCCCAATCGACCCTTCCGATTCGGATCGACCCCCATTCGACCCCCTGGCTCAGATCGACCCCCACTTTCGTTAAATAGACCGCTGGGGGTCTATATAGACCACTTTGGCGACCTCTGCTGTAAGCAAATATCTTTAAAACAGTCTATTTTTAAACTACCAAAATATGTTTTGTATAAACTAATTTTCATTAAGAATGATTTGGAAAAATATTATTTTAAATAAAGTCTGATTTGGTTTGATCAGTGTCAAAGTTTGATAACATTTTATTCTCAGCTTCTAATAATCCTTGTTTTTTTTACTTACTTTCGAAAAAAAAACTAAAAATATGCTTTAGACTTGGCTATTAAAGACAAGTTGTTATGAAACTATTATCTCGTTCACTAAAAATTTTTCTTCATTCTAATTTAGAAAATGGTGCTGCTCCTCCCGAAAATTTAATGACAACTGAACTTCAAGTTCCATCGTTAAAAGCATGCCAATTCTTCTTTGCTTTCTTGGCTATTTCTATAACTGATAAACACGTTTGTGCCAATTCTTATAGATCTACCGGTGTTTGTTTTGTGAGTATAACTTTATGTTTTCTTTAATTTTAGCACTAAGCATAGTATAAATAAGCTATAAACTGCGATTAATTTTGCAATTTGTGAGAAATTCTCGGCTTCCTTTTCAATGTTTCAACTTGATATGATTTAATATGACAGTTTCTAACTGCTATGCATAATATTTGATTACACATAATACAGGGCTGAAAAATTAAATTTTCTCCTCTGTTTCGATTTGTACAAATCAGTCGTAGTGAAAAGTGAATTAGTTCGTTCAATTTGAGAAAAGTTACCAGTTCAAGCCTCAACCATGAAGTCGAACCTAATTTACCTACTAGCCTAATCTACCAAATTCTAATCTAACCGTCTAAACTATACACGTGTTAATTTTAAATAGATTATTTTTAAAAGAAAAGTGGATTTTTTTAAAGAATTTATTTAGAAATGAAAACTATTTATAAGCCAATGCTCTTTATCATCATTATTGATAGATACTAAATTCCTATATATTTTCATATTTTGGTTTGGTTCACTTTTTGTGTATAAACAAGCAGCATATGTAATTGAAGCAGACTGTCTGCTTAAATGAGGCTCCAATCTCATCTTGGGGGAAGAGAAATGCATGACAAAACAATGTTACAAGGTGGTTAAACTGTTTCGTTATCTGCAATGAGGTGGTTAGGTCTAGAGTCCCTATAAGTAGAGTTGGATTAATGACTGTAAAAGTTTCCGCTTAAGAAGTGCGTGTCAAATGAGCGTGTATCCAATTAGTTGAGTAGAATCTATTAATATGAATTTTTAGAAACTATCAACTTCATGATTCAATGAAAACTAGTATTTTCAAGTTTTAACGATATTTTATGCTTTTTGTATAGTTTAGAATTTGTATTCTTTAAGTATAAATCTAGGGTGTATCTATTATAGGGTATTATAGGGTGTATCTTGTATCTATTATAGGGTGATTCTGGTGGTCCACTTGTATATGATGATCCGATGAGTGGAAATAATGTTCAAATAGGTGTCGCCTCCTTCGTTACTTTCCTAGGCTGTGGTCGTCCACTTGTTCCCAATGTATACACAGCTACAGCTGCTTATGTGGACTGGTTGACAGAAACAGTTGGTGAAAATGATATTTGTTTTGTATGAAATATAAAAGAAATTGTACAGTTAAATTATTTATTTAAATAAACTATTTATTAAATTCTTATCTTGCTGTTGAAATTTTAATCACTAAATTTCCCTTGCTTGCCTTCATTCATTTCTTTTTAACGAATTTATTTACATTTATTAAGTACGTATTTACATTTGTTAACGGGTAAGTAACATTTTATTCAGTAAATTGGAAATAAAATTAAGAATAATTTCAATAATTAACGGTACATAGAAGTTTTATAATAATTGCAGTGAAATAACTTTATAATGTATACTATTTAACTGGTCCAATTAACAGGGTGATTCACATAGACCATCTTTAACAGTTTTTTTTGAATATTTATGAAAAAAAGCAAAATAGTATTCGTCAGCACAAATTAATATTAATATTTTAGCAAATTAATATTTAAGAGGAGAATAAATGAAAACGCTATCGAAATTCGACAAACCTCATTACAGAAAGGCGTATGTAATAAACAACTTTGAACATGTTTTTTGCGAGAGGAAACAGAAAGGAGTGTAAAGGCAATGATTAGTTTCTCCTTCAAGCTTGAACCTCTAACTAAACCTGTTTCGATATTTATTACATCCACTTTCATGTACCATGATTTGTCACATTTAGAAAGCGTTTTCTTTTTTTTTATTCTGAAATATCATTAATATAAATATTTGTATACTTTTTTATTTCCATTTATGGTTACCATTCTAGAAAGTAATATCAGGGGCAGACTTCGCGAAACATTCCGTATGCTTGTGAACTAGTAAGTAAAAACTAAGAGGTTTCGCAATTTCTTAAAGTTCTTTTAAGGATGTTTATGAAAATGATAAATCATTTTTAAGCATTGCATCAATTGTATCAATTGTACAAATGTATCAATTTTTACTTATTATCTATTAGTACTAACTATTTATTTTTTAAATACTTAAGGAGCTTCTTGATATGGACATAGAATCTAGGACTTACAATTGCTATATAATACCTCTAAGGACTGTTTTGATACGCAAGCTAGAATATGGGTATTTTCTGTTTTTCATTTTTATGAATTGAATTTCTTTTAATGGAATTGTTTTTTCAAATTTCCACCCGAATTATATTCGTCATATAGGTATCAGTAGGGTAAATTTGTTAGCCACTCTTTTAGGGGCACCATATTAGGTGTGCCAACGTTGTTTCCACAGTAAGGACAGATAGTACAGAGAATGAGATAACATCCACTCCTTGTCCGGGACTTGAATCCAGGGCCTTTCTGATGTGAGGTCAGCTCTCTGACCACTACACAATCTGGTCAGCTTCTATTGAATATAAAGTGTTCATGTCGAGATATTGCCATACATGATGTATGAAATCATATAAATATAACGCACTTTTTTACTAGTTAAGATTGAAAGCTCAAGTCTCAAACGTTTATTGCAGAATAAAATGAATCTATTAATGCCTTTTAAATTGTGAAAAGCAATTACCAAGATAAGAATATTATTTTTTGACTCCTTTAAGCTTCTAACATGATGGAAAACTAAGTATTAAGCAGTAAAATATTCTATTTTAATAAGTTAGAGTAAGAGGGACTATTGGGCTCAGTTTTTATTATAATTTCGAAATACTTTACTAGTAAGTTTTTCTTAAAGCATTTTAGATAGGATTTTAACATGATAATACGTAGTTTTGTAAAAAAGTTTTTTTTCTCTCCACCTACTTTATTAGTCTTAAACTGATATCCTTGCCCTCTCTTCATTTTAGGTTTTGTGGGAGGGCATTTTTCAGTTCAAATAGGGGATATAACCTTTAAAGGTGCATTTACCAGGTGGATGATAATTTTAGCTGCTCACAGAAGCAAGATAAGATGGCGTTTCCCCTCCACCATCCCACAACAATCCACTTAAACTTAAACTATATAAAATATCTGGGCACCTGAGGCCCTTTGCGGCCCTTTTCCCAATTCATCTTGAGCTTGATCTGTGTGGTGCTTCCATGAGGTTGTGGAATGCAAATGAAGTAAAGTAGTATTCACGTGGATCATTGAGGTTCTGACTATGTAATTATATGCAGTAGGGTGGTAAGACTATATTGTAAAAGTATGAACTTTTGCTAAGCACATATGAAAATGAGGTTATGTACATGCTACTGATGTCGGGAATATGATGCATCACTGCAATAGTATGTTGCTATTGGTCTGATGTTCTTGTCTTCAGTTAAATATTCAAATAGGAATATTTCATTTAAATTTGCTGTAGAGCAAGACGTGGCTTTTTCGTAGAATTTGTTACTTAATTTAGCTATAAGTTTGTCTATTGCATCTATTTTGAGGTCATGGTGACAACAATCCACTCTGAATCTACTCCTTGTCTTTATAAAAAATATAATAATTCTTTACTGGTAGTTACCATCAGATGCATTTTCAATTTATTTGAAATTGATATTTAACCAACAGTTGATATTTATAATAAAAAAATTATATTTAAAGTAATCAAGATTTTTTATTTAGTTATAAATGTGAAAGAAAAGTGAATTAATGTAATCAAAATTTAAAATAAAATAATTTGATTTGATAATTATTAATGAAAATATTTGCATTTTGAACTATTTTTTTGTTCTATTTTAAATGATAAATAAGAAACACTTCTTCTAGGTACTGAATACAATTAATTTTGCGCATAATTCCGTAATTAATATTAAGTTGTACCGAAACCATATTAAAATATTTTTAAACTTCCTTGCACTAAACAAAATTATATTCCTTGATACTTTCAATTTTTTATGCATAAAATCATGCAGAAACAAGTTTAGAACTTATTCTTTGCATTCCTTTGGATTTATAATAATTTAAGGTACCATTTTAAATACATAGTGAGTTCACAGAAAGTATTAAGTAAAAACAATAAAACGCTAATAAATAGAATTTCGAATATGAATTTAATAATTTTTTAATGCGAGCATAAAAATAAAACAGTTGAATTAAGTAAAAAGGAATGAAAACCTATGTTGTAAATCGTAATAAAAAATAATTTATTTTTTTGAATACGTTTAAGCTGTTCTGTTAAAAATTTTTTTTAAATATTTCAAATAGTTTAGTTTAAAAATAGTGAAGAAACTGTTTATATTAATAAAAAAGGAATGGAAAAACAGTGGGGTTAAAAAAATATTTTTGAAGAAAATGATTAAGGAAGAGCAATTCAAAGCGTACAAAAAATAAAGAAAGAAAATATTAAAACTTTAAAGAAGTGGCAGATGCAAGCGATTATAGTTAAGTATCAAGGTTTAAATCAAAAGTAAAAAAAAAATTTCTTGATTCAAGTCTGCGTATCAAATCCTATTAAAAAAAGTTTAAATACTTTCGTATCTAAACAAATATTAATTAATTTTTTTGACAAATGTAGCCTTTTGAATATAATGCATTCTTTGTATAAATGCATTTATTCCTTTAGATACACTTAATAAAAAATATTTTTTCAAAACAGTTTTTCATAAAAAAGTATTTTTATTTTAAGTTAGTTTTTGCTACGGTTTAATCAAACACCTTTATTAAAGTATGTTTTTTTTTGTATTTTTAAGAAATAATTTTTATTTCCCTTCTTAATAAAGAGTTAAAAGACAATGAGGAATTTTAATATGATATGCTTTTTTATTTATGCAGCAAATAATTTTAAAAATTATATTGAGAACTTATTCAGGTTCAAAGTTTAATTATAATAAAATCTCATCAATGTCAGAAATGTATGTGAACATGTGGGAATGAATAAAAAAGAATAAAACTTTAAGAACCATTTCGGCAAAGAACGACTCTTGATACTTCGTATTGATTTCCGTATTTTTTATGGTATTGATATAGATTTTTCCGTTTGTAGAAGGAATCCATTATAAGTAAAGTGAGCATACAATCTTTATTTTTTATAAAAGAGAAATTTCTAATAAGATACACAAAATATAATAGTATATAAAGCTCATATAGAGCCCTTTGGCATCAAAAATGGATAAATATTTTGCATAACTTTCCTGTAAGTGCATTAAAGAAAAAGTATGGTTAATAATGATTAACAGTTAAACAATGATTTTGTTCAAGTAAAACCACGTTATCATTAGAAGTTAACCAAAATCAAACAAAAAAGCAGGAAATTAGCAAATTTTTGTCTAATTCGGGGTTAAAATAACGAAGCAAAATAAATCGAGTGTTCTATTGATGCGATAATAATACAAAAACAATAAGTTTAAATAATGAAGCAAAATTGATCGAGTGTTCCCTTAGTGTGATAATAATACATTGTTTGAAATTGTCCAAATGAAAAACATGCAAAATAATATATTGTACACTGAAAAAAGTAAGGTCAAAACTACCGGAATATTGTTGAATTGACCGTGTTTCTGGCCCTATTGACATACCAAAAATCTTGGTAATTTAACCGAAGCACATAGGTAGTGATTATGGTAAAATTAACAAAATAATGGTTTTATAATATATGATAAAATTTGGCAGATGTGGTAAAACCTGGTAATTTTACTATGATACCTTATATCATGGCATAAAAACCATTTATTCAGTTAAATAACTATTCAGTTTTGCATTTTTACTAAATGTACGGTAATAAGAACTAAAATTTGGAAAATCAAAATTTATGGTAAACCGTTAACATATGAAAGAAGACTTACCAAATAAAGGGTTTAAATAACGTAATTTTGGTTTTGTTAAACAGAATTAAAAATTTTTTTTAACCAGAAATATCATTACCATACAGTACAGTAGTTTTATCAGGCTTTTTTTTCTCATTGTGCGAGAAATAAAAAAACAGATATTTGATTAACTTGTGATCTGATCATTAGATTTCAATAGTTTCCGTCTTTATAAGTCGATGGGTAAGTCTTGAATATTTTTGTAATTAGTTATTACATTTATTTTGAGGTATATTTGAGAATTAGAGGTTACCCCGTATATTGATTAGATTGTACGCTTGGAATTATAGAGTGTTTTCATTAATTTCTTTCGTCATATACATATTTTGTCATATAATTACTTATTTTGTCTGTATAATTTTACAGGGCTTATTGTAA